ATCCTCCCGGACCGGGGCACGAACCCGCGTCCCCTGCATCGGCAGGCGGACTCTCAACCACTGCGCCACCAGGGAAGCCCCATTATCAAGGATTTTTGCATCTACATCCAGGGAGCTATTAGTGTGTAGTTTTCGTTTCTTGTAATATCATTGTCTGGTTTTCCTATCAGGTTAATGCTGCTGCTTCACAGGCTAAGGCGGGAAGTGTTTTCCTCTTTTATTTTCTGGATGAGTTCGTGTAAAATTGGTGCAATAACTTCTGTAAATTTTGGGTAGAATTCGCACCAGTGGAGCCATCTGGGCTTGGAGTCTTCTTTTTGGGAAGATTTTTAACTAGAAATTTCTTTGTGCTTTGGACTCATCAGGTTATATCTATTTCTCCTTTAGTGAGTTTTGGACGTGACATTTTCATCAAAGTCGTCAGATTCACTGGCATAAAGTTCATACTACTTCCTTTTCATCCTTTTACCCTGTAGAATCTGCAAGAGGGTCTTCTCTCTCGTTCTTGGTGATTTTGTCTCCTTTCTTTTATTCTTTGATCTGTCTGGCTAGAGGTTTATCAATTGTATTAATTTTTTCAAAGAATCAGATTCTGATTTCATTGATTTACTCAATTGTTTTTGTTTTCTATGCCATTGTCTTCTTTTATTATTGCCTCCTTTCTGCTTGGTTTGGGTTTAATTTTCTTCTTTTCCTAATTTCTTAAGGTGGAAGCTTAGATGACTGCACCTTCTATTTTCTAATGAAAGTGTTTAATGTTATAAATTTTCTTACATGCACTGCTTTACTGCACACTGCAACTTCTGGTGTTGCATTTTCATTTTTACTTAGTTCTTCATAATTTATAACGGTCATATTTTACTTAGAAATGTGTTGTCTAATTTCCAGTAGTTTTGCGGAGGGGGGGTGGATTTTCCAGATGTATCTGTTACTGATTTCTAGTTTAATTATTTTGTAGTCAGAGAAAAACCACTTTGTTTGCAGTTCTTTTGAATTTGAGGGTTGTTTTATGGCCCATAAGATGGTTTCTCTTCATGAATGTCCCATGTGTTGTTGGGAAAAAATGTGTATTGAGTGGAATGTATTTGTTCACTAGAACAGAGGAATTTATGCTTTTTTTTCGGTTCAGAAGACAAAGACCATATTGTGGTTGTTCTAATTGATCTTAAGAGATCTGTTCTGAGTTTGCGTTTTCACGTTTTCAAGGCTAATTTTGTTTGCGCACAGATTTGAAAAACCCTTGCCCTTGCTTTTCTTTTTCACCACGTTATAAAATGTATATTGGCCTTGCTGACATCTTCTACTCATGCTACTTAAGGCCAGGATTGAGTTTAAATGTAGATGGTGTAAGCTACTCTTAAGTGAGATATGAGGCAGGCTAGTTAAGGGCATGGCTCTTAGAGTCGGGTGGACCCATGTTCCAGTCTTTATTCTGCTCCTTAATATGTCTGTGTTCATGGGCACATGGTCCTTCAGTCTTGCAAGGCTTTTGTGAAATCAGCTTTGACAACAGCAGTGAATCACCTGTGTGCGTGGTACAAGTCAGGGACAAATGACACTCTTGCTGTTACGGGGCCTGGGGGAGTAATGGGGAGCATTCGCGCGGTTTCATTTTCAGAACCTGTCTGATGAACCTGGATCCCTTTCTTAGCCGTTTACCCGTATGTATCGAGAACTCTGCCTTCTTCGAGCTGCTCCTTAGTGATCATAGTACCAATGTCTCCTAAGAAGGGTTATTTACTCTTATTTTCTAACCCTATACAATGCATTTGTTTATTGGGTAGCTCTTCTCAGTGACAGGAGAAATGAGGCACCATGCTGATAGCAATCACCTGGGAACATAAGGCCGTAAGAAGGGGAGGGTCGTCCCATCAGTTCCTACCAGAGGCCTTGAATGCCTGTGTCGTGTACCATTGGGTTAAGCACCAGAAAGACGACAACTAGAAATAAGCTCGCAAATCAGAGTAGAAAGGCAATAGGGAAGGTATCATTTACTATTTGTCTGTTACGTCTAGTGTTCCGTAGGGCCTGAATAAAAAAATTATTAAATTGCTGAAATCACTGAACATACACAGAAGCAAAAGAGTAGTAAAGAAAGACACAGCTGAGCCCTGTTAACGTGCAAATTATATTCTCGTTCGACCAACGTGGCCGCATGCACTTGGGCCGGGCACTCTGCCGGGCGGGTGACCCAGCGGCCGACACGGCCCGTCCTGGTGGGCGGCGTGTGAGCCACAGCATGAGGGCTGAGATGACGAGGCAGGTACAGGGGCTGTGGGAGCCCAGAGGAAAGGCACCTAACGCAGGCTTCCCGAAGGGTGAGAGGCCACGGGGTCAGGGGTGAGGGGCGAAGGGGTTCGGGAAGAGGAAGCAAAGCTCCGGGGAGGCGGTTCCTTAGTTGTCACCTCTGACCTTCCCAGAAACACCCACGGCCGCAGGAAAATGCACGATTTAGCGGGGAGGGTCTACACCATTCAGTCTCCCCAGACCCAGCCCAAGATAACCAAGCGCAGGATGACGGTATAATACCCCCATGTGTGTTCCAGAGTTTCCCAAAGAAAAATCTTGATAATGATTAAAAGAATGACAGCAAGTAAGTCAGGCTTGTTGATGCATTTTATTGTGAGATGGGGGAGTCTGGTAAAAAACTAGAAAATGACCATGGTGTAACAAGGAACTTAAAAATGAAAAGTCAGATTTGTAACTTACATACATGAATACAGGAACAAATTGGCACAAAATGTTAAACGTTGTTCCCAACACTGTTTATATAAGGTTGCCCTAGCTTGGCTTATAAGGAAATGAGACTTCATGGTTAGACTAATCTCTTAATAAAACCGCAGAGCATCATGCTGTTAGTCACACAGTGAATTTCAGAATTTAATAGTTTTATATTAAAAACTGGGTAAAGGTAAAATGACTTGATTGTAGTTGTAAAACTAATACATTCCCATTTAAATTCTGTTCTACAGTCCAAGGCAAGTATAAATGTTAACATAACACTGTTAAATCAAATCTCAATGCAAGAGAACCAATTGCATCTCTACTTTAAATCTTATCAACTTTCCAAATTTTCATACTAAAATATATTATTGTATTAATACAAACTACAGTATTATACACTACACTGTGTAATAAATAAAGAAATATAAAAATAAGACACATAAATATAAAAGTTTTCTAAAACTAAAAGTACATATGTCAGTTAAGAAGGGTATTAATACTGCCAGGTTTGAAGACATACAGTACAAAAATGTTGCACAGATCTATAAACTAAAAGAAATAAAATAATACTGATAGGTAAGAATCAGCTAATGTTTTTAATAAACTGGGTCCATAATAACTAACATTTGGAAACAATTATGAGCCAAATAACAATGGCAGGTCCATGTTTGAAATCCAAGTACATGGATAAAGCAGATTAGAAGATTTCCCTTTCATTTCTGTAGAGAAATTCTGAAAGTCAATTAACGCAAAATGAATACTGAGGAATTATTAAAGGGTGAAATGTCCCAGTGTTTGGCTTCTCTGACAGAGTCAGTGGTTCTGAGTTTTATTTTAGAATTTCGATACAAGAAACAAATCAACAAATGCTAGTTATTGTAGGCCACGCATGAACGGAGGCTGGTCAGAGCCTTGAAAATACTGATAAATGGCACTTATAGCACACAGGTCTTGCTTAAGGCCAAAGGAGATACAAAGCTTCGTATCACATCCTTCATATTTGTTTACCACGTACTCAAACACAATTAAGAACACCGATCTGACGACTCTGCTGTCCTCACCAGGATCAACACTGTTAGTCCCTGCAATCAGAACTCAACGGCAATCTTTTCAACTCCATTTAAACCACATGAGTAAGAAACTTCAGCTCTTCTATCGGCTGCTTTCTTAAGGCTAACGATACACTTTAAATGAGAATACGCTCTACTATGACATCTAAATATTAGAAGTTACTACCTTCTAGACTGAATTTAGAAATGGTAGTTAGCACGGTTTGGAACTGCATTATACTTCTCCGTGAAGGGAATTTTGTAGTGCAGAAGTTCTCACATTTTAAAAAACATAATAAAATACTGAAGCGGATTTAGCATATGTTTACCAATAAAAAATTATAAAATTTCTCCCAATTGTACAGCTTAAGAATAAACCAACGTAAGAGTGATAATTAATACTGATAAAATGAAACAATGCCAGATGCTTATCTAAGTAATCAGTTTCCTTTAACCTGTTGCATCTTTGCTTTCTGAGTCATTAAGTTTTCTAATCTGCTTCATGTTACAAACTTGTTCCTAACTTTGAAAAATGCATGAAAAATTACTAGGTCTGAGGTTCAGGCACACCCGGATTTTTTTTTGTGTGTGTGGTTTGTTTTTTTTTGTTTTTTTTTTTGTTTTTTTGGTATTTTGTATTTTTTTAAATTTTTACTTTACACAGTAGTGAACAGAAATCACAGTATACAGGTTACTGTGTTTCCGTGAGAAGCATGTATAACATAGAACAAACTTCATTACCAATTAGAATTTTCTTTCTTTGTAGAAAAAACGATCAGGCTTCATTTGTTTTCTCTTCAGACACCTGCTCAGCGCCCCGGCTGACTTTGTGTTCTAAGCTGTGGGCTGGGCTTCCAGCTCCTGCGCCCCGCCTCGCACCTTCTGAGTTGGCGCGCCCCTCCCCCCCGCGCC